TCGCCCCCTCCTGCTTCTCCTCCTCTCTTCGTCCTTCTCTCCTCCCCTTCCACCTGCTCCTCCTCCTCCTCCTCCTCCTCCTCCTCCTCCTTTACCATACCCCTCCTCCTCCCTACCTGCCCTCCTTCCCACCATACTCGTCATCCTCTTCCTGTGCACAGAAGATCGTTCGCTCGCCAAAATAAAAATAAAAAATTGTCCACTCGGCAACTTTCGCTCTCTTGCCCCCACGACAAAAAAATCGCTCTCTTGCCTCCCCCCCCTAACCCCCCCCCCAAAAAAAAACGCTCTCTTCCCCCTCCTCCTCCCCCTTCCCCGCCGCCCGCCCTTAATCATTACTTATTTTCCCCCTGCTGCTGCAAATCCTCCACCGCAGCCTCCTCCTCTTCCCCCACCTCGCCCGTCCTCTTTCCCCCTTTTCCACGTCCCCCCTCCCGCGCTCCTCCTGCGCCGCCGCCGCCGCCGCCGCCTCTTTCTCTGTCACATATAATCCTCATTACTTTATTTTTTTCACCTCTTTTTTCCATAATGTTATAAGCTGCAATTTCAGATGGAGATGACGAAAACACGGATTTTTTGGGGCGGTTAGCAAACTGTCTGTCTCCGTTAGTCTCCGTTAGTCTCCGTTAGTCTCCGTTAGTCTCCGTCTGATCCTCATTCTTCGTTTGCGATCCACAATATAAACACTTGTCCGTTTTCCGTTTCTCCGATCATACCCTCCGATGGTCCCATCAATCTCTTTTTTTTTTTTTTTTTTTTTTAATGGTCCCATCAATCTCAGTGAGAATGAGCGGCGGAGATTGACAGACGCTTTCTACCATTGGAGATTGCGATCTATCTACCCATCTATCTGTCTATCTATCTATCTATCTATCTATCTATCTATCGATCTATCTATCTATCCATCCATATCTAATGACAGAAAGTCTCTGTCTATCTATCCCAGTGATAGATTGCTCTCTCTCTCTCTACTCTATCTATCTTCTATCTATCTATCAATCTATCTATCAATCTATCTCTCCCAGACATGGATAGATAGCCATCAATCTATCTATCTATCTATCTATCTATCTATCTATCTATCTATTTATCTATCAATCATTGGAGATTGCTATCTATCATTGGAAACTCTCAATCGATCATTGGACGAGGTCCGATCTATCTATCATTGAGGACTGCAATCCATCGCCGGAGATTAATTATTAAGGTAATAGAGTAATATTGGAGATCGCTAAGATTGGAAAAAATTGTGATGAGAGACTGCGATTGGAGATTGCGACTGAAGATTGGAGATCGCGACTGGAGATCTCGATTGGAGATTAGAGATTGCTATCTATCATTCGAGATTGCGATCGGAGATCGCGACCGTTGAAGATTGCGATCGGAGATCGCGACCATTGGAGCTTGCTGTAAGAAATTGGTAGCGGGCGCAGATTGCTATCATTAGGGATTCCTATCAAGAAGAGAGAGAGGGAGGGGAGGAGGGGGGAGGGGGGGGGAGGACAGAAAGACGAGAGAGGGAGAAAAGAGGGATGCGGCGGAGGAAGAGGAGAAGACAAGGGCGGAGAGCCAAACCCAGAGAGAGAGAGAGAGAGAGAGAGAGAGAGAGAGAGAGAGAGAGAGAGAGAGAGAGAGCCCTGCCGATGTTCCCTACGAGTTACCGCGGTAACTTTGTGGATGCAATTTCTTCTTACCACAGAGAGAAGGGAGGGAAGACGAGAGAAGAGAAAGTGGATATCAGTGGATAAAACGGTCGGCCGAGAGAACAAACGGAGACAAACGGAGACAGACGGATGAGAGGAAAAGAAATATGGATGGAGAGAAAGAAGAGAGATTATGAGGGAAGCTGGTTGCAGAGATGCAGGGAGAAAGAGAAAGAGAGAGAAAGAAGAGAAAGAAGAGAAAGAAGAGAAAGTGGAGAGGGGGGATGAAAAGCCAAACACAAACACAAAGAGACGGACAGAGACGGCAACGGACGAACAAACGGAGAAAAACGGAGACAGACGGAGACAGACGGATGAGCGGACAAGCTACTTTGCAAGATACAATGGGATAATCCTTAGAGGGAAGGGAAAGAGCGAGCCGCAGAGAAGAATGGGATAATCCTTAGAGGGAAGGGAAAGAGCGAGCCGCAGAGAGAAAAGAGGGAGAGAGAGAGGGGGGAAGAGAGAGGAACAGACAAGAGAGAGAGCGAGAGAAAGGAGAGAGAGGGGGAGGGAAATGGAGAAGAACAGAGAGAGCGAGAGAGAAAGAGTGGAACAGTCGGGGAAGAGAGAGAGAGAGAGAGAGAGAGAGAAACATACCCGTCGTACTGTATTCTTACGGGTTTTCTTGAAGAATACATTAGAGTGAAGCATCCTGACCGGTGACCTCTGTTATCCAACTTTGGCAACAGCTTCGAGATAACAGGAAGCACAGGAGCGTCTCTCTTCTCTCTTCTCCAAGATCCGCTCGTAGTGCTCAGTCGCCTGCCACGTGGGCAGCAGGGATCCCGACGGAGACTGCAACGTGGACTGTTCAAGCTTGGACACGTCACATGATCTCCTGTCACTGATTGACAGCTCGTTGTCCGATTGACAGCTCGTTGTCGTTCACCTGGTCATGATCGCGGTCTTCATTCACCGCAAAGCCTAAGCCACAGCCAACGCGAGGTAGTGACATCAGAATACTCATCCCCCGACTGGCGCATGCATAGTCCTTCCCTCAAACTTGAATGGATAAGAGGTTCGGACCCAGGCTAGGGTAGGCCCGGTACCGGGGCTAAATGCAACCCACGCTAGGGTAGGCCCGGTACCGGGGCTAAATGCAACCCACGCTAGGGTAGGCCCGGT